TATACTAATCTCCGGGCTCCGCAATCTGGATTCTGACAAGCTCCGCCCAGCCTCCAGTAGATCCTCTGTAGCTCGAAATTCTCGCCATCGTGAAGATAGGTACCCGGGTATCTTGACTCGCTTGATTCGTAATCCACGATTGAAAGAACCACGACTGACTAATCATATCAGTCATAGGCTCAGCTCTTGATGTTAGCGTCCGCGACGTTTACTCGTACAGTATCTTGGGTTGTGTCTTGGCAAGGCTCGGGCGACGGCGGGGTGTTGCAATCGGCCGATGAAGGCCCGCTCCAGATTTTGATACGAGATGGGTATGGGCGTGATTGATCATATGTCCGTTCATTCCGGTATCGCACCCGGACTTTTTCTGAGCCTTGATTCGGGCTATCTGAGTACACTAAGTGCATCGGTGAATGCCTTGGTGTCTATATACGATTTCCTTTGCAGTGGGAAGTTATCGCCGTGCGCCACCCGTGGTCACAAACGCTCTTGAGTGGTATCGACATCGCGAGGCTCATTTACTCATATCTCTTTGTCGACATCGAGACTGAAATCTAGATTAGGCTCTGATTCACCCACGTACGGCCGCAGTTCCACTTGGTCCACCTCAGCTGACTTTAGGACCTCGGAACGATATCCAGATACAAAAGCATGTCTGATCGTTGAACTATTTTACCTCGAATTGTCGTTGCTGGGCCGTCTGCGCGGCGACCGTCTCTTGCGAACAAGTCGAGTGCGCCTATGCGCAAGCGATCCTTCGGCGACCTAGAGGCGGATCCTAGAGGTAGCTCTAACCTGCACAGAGGCTACAGCCACGAGAGCTATGCAAGCTCACAACTGCGACCTGTATCTGTCACGCATGACTGCAAGAGCTTCCTGTGCGTCCCAGGTCGAATCTGGGGCAGATCTAGCCTGATCTTGCGCTTCATCCAGCCATCGACTCCACGCAACAGTCTTAGGCACATGTTCCAGTGCCCAATCACTATGTTTCGTGGTACAGATGGTTTTCCAGAGACATTCTGTGAAACTTTCGTAGTGTGTTATTTCCGACAACCCGACAACAAGATCCATATGCCATGACAAACGGACCGGAAGGATTGCGGCGATCCAATACAAAAGGTTCAGGACTGTATATGTGACAGCAAGTGCTGCTTTCATCGTCCATACTGCATTCCCAAACAGCACAATGGAGCCCACGAGGGTGAGCCCACCAACAGTACCACTCAAGCCGCGCCCCGTGAAAGAGCTGACATTGTATTCGATATTCTCGGGGTGGAAGTAGAGAAGACGCGCTATGGATCGATCACACTCCACAACCGTGAGGCATTCGTTCGAGGACTTGATAACGACCATATCTTGCGGTATCTGATCAGTATACGTACGCATGGATCGTGGTCTCCAACGCATTCCGACACACAGTAGAGGTGTCGTAAAGCTCATGACCAAAATACCAGTAAGCGCGACAGCATCTACAAGCACGAGAGCCCACCCTGCTAGTCCAAGACTCATCGCGCAGCTGACAATAGCGATCATGTTCATTGGCGAGAACAATCTTGGTAGAAACAGATTCTTCTTTTTCCTTCCATAGGCGTCCGGTTCTTCCATATCGAGATGATTTCTCTGAAACGGAAGGTATCGCCGATGCAGGAACGGCTTCGTTTCCTTCCACCTAATTTTGAGCACACGTGACGTGAATGGTGGCAACTCGGACCCATCAGTGTGGACCATCCGTCCAAAATACTGCAAGTTTGGTCTCTTAATACCCGAAAGTACTCCCATCACCGGTACATCGTCCTCGGATGCAAGCTTTTTGGGTCGTTGAGCGAGAAGGCCTTGAGGCGCCGGTATCAGTCGTGGTAGGAAGCACGTCCAGGACATGCAGATCTGCTGGCTGCAAGCTAGGATGTTATGCTCGCCCAAGAAGGCTAAGATGTTGACGACGTCGAGGCTCCAGTTATCGCGCGATTTGGGGTAAGTGATATCGATCATGTTGGATGCTGCTTGTAACGTCGAAATCTCGCAAGATGCAAATGGTAGGTCGACACATGTTGGAGAAGAGCACGACAGATGCTCACCTTTATGTTGCAGAAAGGTTCTCTGGTGGTTCAGCCGCACGAGGGGCGCAATGCGTGGCTTCAAGGCTAAGTAGGTAGGCTTCAGCTGAAGCTGACTACTTATACTTCTGCCCTGCCTAGCTAGTTAGGCGTGTTGACCTTACGGAAGGTCGAAAGGTAAGTTTGAGCTTTCTGTGAATTCATGTACCTAGTTATTGCGAATCGAGTGGCCACAACAATGCGATACCCGCAAGGTGGTTTGTGATGATGGACTGACAAGACCGCGATTCAATCGACCACGGCCAGACTTACGGTGGCGTCGATCTATAGTCCCCGCTAGTGGAAGGTCCGTGCGCACCAGGCAGTCCTTCCGCTCTGCATGTCCAAAGACGCAGAAACCATGGAAGAGCCATCAAAATTGCTACAAGTTATCCTGTCGCTAATTCCGATTGTACTTCACAACTTCGTTGCATGCATCGCCACCCGTACTCGAGCCCGCTTCCGGCCGGAAGATGTCAGATGGGGAGATTGGAATGGCAAGAGCCTCTTGGCTTCAGAGAAGACGAGCCACCGGCCTACCTCCCGCTACCCACGACACCTGGACATCCCGAATCTCCGTCACAAATCCGACTGCGATGTCTTCGCATTCCTTCCTCGTCTCCGCTTCTCGAATGATGGGCTCTGGAGACGATATGAAGTCGCCAACTTTAGGCCCCACTAGCAGGCTTTGCTGACCTTTGATTCGAGCGAACGAAATCCTCCGCCTCCCGTAAACTTCCTACCCCAAGGCTCCATCCCCACCTTTTCAACGTCACTTGCGGAGAGTGGTTGTTTGCCTTCCTTTTCCAGGAACCGTTACCCATCTCAGACTACCCGACCGGACGGATCGTGGTACGCGACGAGGGTGTCGCTGCAAGGGCAGTATGATGCGCCGTTCGTCTGCACATGGCACACAAGACCTGCCCAGGCGCGAAAGATAGATCCGCATCATAGACGAAATGCGGTATGCTATAAAGACCAAGAGGTTTCCCGATCATCACTAGAGATTATCGCCGCGCCAGGTCGCCTTCTACCCAGGATGTCCTCCACCAAAGCCAGCCTTACGGCTCTCGCTTTAGGGTTCTCGTCTCTCTTCACCCCGGCCCTTGCCGCTCCTTCATCATCTCACAACTCGCCCAAACCAGTCAAAGACCCCTACTCCAGGGAATACTGGCCCGCGCCTCGCAAGATCACAGGTCAGGACTTGAACGGTACGCTTGGTGGTGTCCACATCCACGACCCAAGTATTGTGCTCGGACCAGACGGCCACTACTACTCATTCTCCTCTCATGGCTTGGCAACCACCTCTCGTGCTTCGAAGAAGAACAGTCTGGAAGGGTACTGGGAGGTTGTCGCTCAAGTTCTGGAGCCGCCTGGCAGCATTGATGATCCCGCTCAGGCAAACCGTCTTTGGTAAGAGGCAGCTACTTTGCAAATACCAAAAGAAATTGTGTACTAACACTATAATGCAGGGCCCCAGATGTTCACAAGGTCGGTGATACCTATTACTGCTACTATACCGTCTCCGACTTCGGCGTCTCGGAGTCCTTCATTGGACTTGCCACCTCGAAGACCCTGCAGAACGGGTCCTGGACTGACCACGGCATGGTCGTGTCGTCCAACAGCACCGACGCTCCCTTCCCGCTGAGCAAGACCAACACCATCGACGCGGCTTTCATCCAAGACGCCAAGACTGGCAAAAGCTACCTCTCCTACGGCTCCTGGTGGGCCAACCTCTGGCAGTTCGAGTTGACCAAGGACCTCAAATCCGTCAAAATCCCCACTGCCCGCCAGCTGAGCTACACCTATGACCCAGTGCTGCCTACCAAGGAGCAGGCATACGCCAACATGTCCCTCTCCTGGGGCGGTGCATCCGCCGAGGAAGCCCCGTATATCAACTACAACAAGGAGCAAGGCTTCTACTACCTCTGGTACTCAGCGGGTCTGTGCTGCGGCTACGACCCCGCTGCGCTGCCCCCTCCTGGAGCCGAGTACACCATCTTTGTCGGTCGCTCAAAGTCGCCCCGCGGGCCCTTCGTGGACCGCAATGGAAAGGATCTCGCTGAAGGTGGCGGAAGCATGGTCTATGGCAGCCATGGTAACACATACGCACCCGGAGGACAGGCGGTGATTTCCGACTACCGCGGAAGCGACGTGCTGTACTACCATTACGTCAACACGACATTCGACCCGCTTTACCGAGACAACTTCAAGTTTCTGGGATGGAATCCGATCAAGTATGTCAAGGGATGGCCGGTGTTGCAGAAGTAAATGGGGAAACGATATGGACTTCAAGAAGACTATGTATCATGAACGAGAATTGGGTATAATATAAGCAACCGAATCTACCAATCTTCCTACACCGTATCACCGACTAGACCTACCAAAGTTGCAGTGGTAAGAGCGGTGTGATTGTAGCGGGGACTAGCGCCCACCTCGTTTTCTTTCGCCTTTCCCACAGTTTTGCGGATATAATGGCTACCATCATCGCATTCTTCCACATACGACCATAGGACACTGAGAATTAGGCTTCCCGTCCGCTCAGCCATATACAAGCAGTGTACCGGCGGATTAGTAGTTAGGTGGGTGACCACTAGCGAATCCCCGCTGTTGTATGTTTATGCCTTCTTTTTGCCCATGCAGCATCGCCAACACCACCCCGTTCAAGCGAGAGAGCCTTGCATCTCTTTGCCTGAAAGCAGATCTTTTTGGACCTATGAGCTCGGTATTGCCATCTAGCTACTGCAAGCCTTTAGCGGTCCGTAAGAGGGTATGCCATGTATATGTGGGGGTATGAGGACCGATGCTGTGATCCGCGCGCCAACGCATTCATCAAGACTAACAGTATAAAGCTCCGGTTCTTGTTGATTGCTAAGAACCTCGATACTCTTCTCCAAAGTCGCAAGGTCATGTAGACGAATTAGATGTCCTACTCCTAGGTATCCCAAACAAGGTTTTCTTGGGCTTCGGTGTCGCAGCTTTCCTGATACCAAACAGATCATCCGCAATATTTTGCGCTTCGGCACCTAAGTGCTTCTTGCGCTTTTCATAGAGCTCGGGCGGAAACTCGAATTTCCAGCGATGCTTTCGGATGCAGTCAAGAGCTGCGGGCTTCCCCAACTCCAATGCAAAATCGAGGGCGGTTCGTCGGCTGCAAGACAGATTCGTGATCTCAATAGATGCGTTCTCAAGAAGCACGTCGAGAGCTTCATAGGCGTTCTTGAACAGCGCTAAATGAATCGGGTACCTCCTTACGCCAGGGCATAAATGGCCTAGTATCTCAGGGCTTTGTTCGAGGAGGGTTTGCACGCTGAGGGCATGGTTTCGCTCAATCGCGCGGCGAAGTTCCTGCATCTGCGCATTTTGCTCCTGCGTAAGGCCTCCTTGGGGCGCCACTATTTCAGTCCGTGGGGGATGAGGAGATTCAGGCGCAACAGCCGTCGACAAGATACTGTCATCTGAGATGCGGGGGGTGCTTCCGTATACCGGTGAGCTTGGGCTTTGTACAAGGTCCAAACCTGCCAAAGCATCTGGATAGACGTAGTTCTCAGATGCGACATCATATTTTTCCCACTCTTGTTGAATATAGGCCAGTCTTTCGCGCAGCTCAGATGCCTCTATTCGTCTGCCGCGATCGATCAGAAGAACTCTACCGACAATCACTTTGAGTATGTATAGTACGAACTTCTGCTCGGTTTTGAATGCGTATGAGTCCTCGATCAGAATATTGGACCAGTCGATGAGACTGGGGTGTAGTGCGGCACGAAGCGGTCCTGCTGTATGAGGTATCACATCATCGCCCGGGTCCCGACTTTGGAGATAGTGACAAATGTGCGAAGTTCGGTGTTTCCATGGGTATGAGTCGCTCCTTATATAGAACAAAGGCTCTCTGCCGCCGAGATTCTGGAATCTGACCATCAGGGAACTCTCCAACTCTGTGACCTCCGTCGATCCGGCATATATGAACGCAAGTACCATAAGTGTGACACAGCCCATAGACCAGACATCACTTCCCCGTCCTGCATGACTAGTCTCTTGCTCTTGTATTTCCGGGGCTTGATATAAACCGGTTGGTCTTGTTGCAGGTAGAGTGGACTCTCGAGAAGTAGCTGTCGAGGTCTGCGCAGATCCAGCCTTTGGCTTTTTCGCAGCCTTCTTTCCAGCTAGACCAAAGTCGCTGAGCTTCCAGGTGAGTTCATACTGCTCTTCGTCTCCGGAACCGGAACGAGTCTCGAAGATCAAGATGTTGTCAGGTTTGATGTCGAGATGGAGAGTGTCGAGCTTGTCATGCAAGCACTCTAATGCTTCGATAATGTCTACGAGGCTAGCAAGCAAACGAGATGGTTTGACGGCTTCCTGGGGGCGATTCCTGCCTTTGAGGAGATCACCCAAACTGAAACTTGCCAGTTCAAAAATGAGAGAATGTCTGGTCGGCATTCCTGCCCCGTCGAGCTCAGTAATACTACCCAAATGCAGCATTATCATTTTGTGCTTAGTCTTGTACGTCCTTAGTTCCTCCAAGATTCTGAGCTCGATCTTGAAGTCTTGAGTGGCATCGAGCATATTGCGCGCAGGTTCCGCCGCCTTGAAGACTTTGAGCGCCACAACTTTCGTGCTGTTCGGATTACCAGGTACAAAGTCCGATTTTTCCTGGTCCTCGTTCTCTCGAATTTCCCAGTGACATTGTGCTATCTCAGCTTTGAAGACTTGGCCTTGAGAGCCGCTCTTGATGGGTTGATACCGGCCCATGAAAGGCAAGCGTTCGCTGGTGGTGACGTCGTGGTGCTCCAGCTTCTGAATCATGACTGGTTTGAATATCGCTTGATCCAGGAGGATGAGTCTGTGGCACCAATTTGGAACATCATATCCTTTCAGGGTGGTCTTCGTGAACGGTATCGATTCATCAGACGGTATAAGATTGTGAGACTTGGCTGTAGGATGGTCGAACATGATGACCATCCATTCCACGAATAACGAGAGTAATTCCTTGTTGTTCTGGTACAGAAACAGAGCAAGTAGAGCTCTCCAGGATGGTTCATCCAGTGGTTTGCGCTTCGTCGCGTCAATGCAACTATTGATGAACACCTGCATGTCGTCATTTACGAAATCTGAGCCCTTCTCTTCATGAGCAGTACTGGTAGCACTAGTTTGTAAGAACACGCCACCTCCGAAGGAAGAAGTCTCAGTGACCAACTCTGTGAACAACAGCTCCAACGACCTATCGTTGAGTATCTGGTCAAGGTCGGGTTTCGGCAAGAAGGCGCTGCGCTGCGCATCATCTTCTGCGACGTCCTTGGTAGTCCGTTCAACAGCATCTTGTAATTTCTGGGCCAGCTCCTCACACTGAGCTTTGCGTGGTATGGACACACTGGTCCGCGAGGTTGAGAAACTGGGCCTGGCGCTCATCGAACCGGGCTGCCCAGCGGGTCGATTATCAAGGACTCTTCGATCGTCGCACGCGACGGGACTCGCGTCGAAATGCAGGATAGACGCGCTTGGTGGAACCGGCCATGCGCGTCGGTCCCTGCAACGCAGAGAGAGGCCACACGAAGCTCGTTAGCTTGTTGCTTGACGGGAGCCACTGGTAGCAAAGTTGGGGTAAGACGTCCACTGGCACTCAGAACTATGGGGCAGCGATGCAGCAAGACACTTCCGGGCTGTAGGCAACATCGCCCATGTGAACGGCGTCATCGCTTGATTGCCAAGGGGCCGCGTCGCGCGGGGTCCCGGCGCCCGCGTGTCGCCAGGCTCCACTTCCAATCTTGAAAGGCTCGACCCGCCCGCAGCAGCGTGGCGTTTCAAGTAGCAGGCATGGCACCGCGTGTACTGTTCCGCCTTCGAATACCTGGCTGCCCAGCTGCAGGCCAGTATTTTGACAACACGACGCCGGTGTATAGATGATGAGCAGGACCTACCCAGGTATGCAGGTAGGCTTGCGCCAACGCAGACACCCCCCGGCTTGATGGAGACCGAGTTGATCTTGTCTCAGCCTTGTACAGATTACAACAGGCTATAAAGTCCCCAGCGGCGGGCAGATGCTATCCTGCCTTGTCTCAGCTTCGCCACCACCAAGCCATGATACAACAGCAAGCCCTCCAACGGTACTACAGCCGTGACAAGCTACAAAAGTTCCTCAGAAACAAATTCGGTGATAACATCAATTTCAACATCCAAAGAGCTGGAGAGGAGTACTTAACGTTCGAGGCTCCTGAGCTTTTGACGGCGGTCAGTCGCTCAGAAAGGCTCACTAGGCTGTGCTGACATCATTAGGATGACTGGAGGTAATACAATGCGCCCATTGTTTTCGCGACCGGTGAACGCTAACGGGAGGCATTCTACTAGTGATGCAAAGGACTGAGGCGCTGTGCCTGTCAGCCCGTCCAGGCAGTGCGGGGCCCCTCAGGATTGGATAAGGCCATGCCGCGGTTTTGGGAAGGCGAGGAGCGAACACGTACTTATTGCAAATATCACGGAGCGTCTCTGCGCAAAGTCTTACTACCCTGCAATTCACAATTCCGATATGTCTTCTAGTACTCGGCAAGACGACGGGAGTGCGCATGACCTTCATGCACTCGCCCTATCAACGTCACAGATACAGGCCTGCATCCTCGGCTGCCATCAGTTGTTCTCGAAGCGCAAGGAGAGCCATTTGCTCAAGGTCACTCGCTTCGCACGTGATGCGTCGCATACTCCATCAACCCAAAGCTTTACCAGCAGTTCGCAACTGTCGACTTACTTTGACAATAATCCAAACGATGCAGATGGACAGAGTAGTGATTTGGAAATATAGTGAGTAGACTTGAACAGTTCTGCCTCCAGGCTGATGAGATTTGTTAGTACGGTTCACCAAAAAGACACATGGGCGCCTCTCAATATCAGCAGCGACATGATATCGCTTCTCATGGATCGTTACCACCTGAGCCCTGGATTCCTTCAAATTTTGACGTGCTTCAAAGATCGACATCTGCCGACGGAAGAGGGATTCTCCAGCGCGTCGCAATCGCATTTCACGGATAAACGCTCTGGTATGTCATCTCTAATCGACATCCAAATCCAATGTGGTAACGATTGTTTAGAGTTCGGTTGGGTCTTCAAATACTCGGAACAGAAAGCTGTCACCACGGGAAACCCATGGCGCATTCGACAAACAGGAATTTACCACTTTGCTGACCAGAAGCGGGCGAGATCAACATTGTTCATTATACATCCGAGCCCGACCGCTCACTTCGACGCCTACCTTCATCAGGTACTACAACAACCGGACGCCAGACTTAGGCTGCTGTCAAATTCCATGCTGGTCCACTCGATGCTGATATCTACACATCTCAGCTCTTGGCGTGACTATCTTGGGTACCACGAGGCTAAGCTTCTGCAATTGGTGAGCCTTTACGTCAATGATATCAATATTTCGGGGCGCCTACTGACCGACGCAAAGGACATGAAGCCAGCCTGTACGTCGCTAACGCAATCTTTGGTTACATTTGAAACCCTCAAAGAAGTCCGCGCGGTTGAGAACAAAATCTTGCCGCTAGAACCTATCCTCGTGTCATTCGAAAAGTTGATGAAAGACCTCGAAGAAGCCAACAGCGTCTTCTCTGAGGTGGGCAAAGTACAAGATGGCACTTCTGTAGTCATAAAAGCGGCACTCAGACAGTTTCGCAAGGATGCCACATCGTACCGAAGACAAGTCCTCTACATGAACAAACGGGCCCAGTTGACTACTCAGTCAATGCTGGATACGTTGAACCTGAGTCAGAGCAAGAACACGTTTGATATGGGTAGATCGGCACGAGAGGATTCTGTCGCCATCAGAGCGATCACGCTGGTCACGTCGTTCTACCTCCCATTCTCTTTCGTTGCCGTAAGTATAACATCCGCTATACACCTTGACTTATGCTGACGACTTACAGACAATGTTTGGCATGAACCTTGTGGACTTCGATTCTGAGTCTCGCAATCTTGTCCTCTCGAAACAACTCTGGCTTTATTTTGTCATATCAGTTCCGTTGACTGCTTTGACGCTGGCTTGTTGGAAGTGGAGAATGCGGATGTATCGCGATGGCGACATAAATGACGAGAGAAGATCAACGGTGAAAGTGAAACCGCTGAAGAGACATTCAGATATCGAAATGGGTCATTTCTGACACAGTAAGGGCTCTTTTTGTACCTCATTTCACTAGAGTTTTTCACTGTCGCAAAGACTTAGTATGTGAATACGATTGATGTAGATTTGATAGCGCTACAAAGTGACGTAGAAGAGGCAGTAAGTAAACAGCAGACGTTGTGTATCAGCCTAGCTTGACATGGGAGTGTTGCAAACAAAAGTCATCTGTGTCTATCAATTGCGGGAAGTGATGCTTCAATTGGGTTCTGCGTCGTGCGCAACCTCGGGTTGTTGTGCTGACGATACTTCTCGTTCGAGAGAACCTGACTGAATGGGCGCATGTGGATCTTGGAAGTTGTGAGACGCTCGTCGGCGTCGTATGCGCATCATCTCATCTACCTCATCTTCGCTTGAGTATGCAGAACCCGCAGTATTGGTGGGCATGGCCTTCGATTGTTGTGCCTTCTTCGCATTGTCCCACTCCTTCCTTGGTGACCCGAGTCTCTCTGGGTAGCCACACTCTTTCAGAGGCTTAGAGAACAACCGCAAGCAGAACTCCACTGGTTTGGTGAGTCCACGCGAGATTTTCTTGAGAGTGTAGATGAACATGAAGCCGGTGGTGATATCGAGCTGCTCGAACACTTGTTCCAGATCCTCTTTACCAGTACTGGGAACAAGCCAGAAACATAGGAACCATGCGAGGATATTAGTGCCTGCGAACAACAAGAGCACGCTCAACGGACCAAGCTTGATCAGAAGCCAGGGGGATAGGACAGCGAGAAGTCCGGCCCCAATGAAATTCCAACATACAGCAAGACTCATACCAAGTTCACGATTAACAAGCGGGAATACTTCGGCTGAGATAACGAAAGCTGCTGGGCCTTCTCCGATGGAATATGCGATCATGAACACGACCAAGAAAATGTAGTGCCCAGCGATGGCTCCAGTATCTGGCCGGGTCGTCCGATTCTTCCCATCGATTATGATCTTCTCCGGTATCTTCAGAACTAAGGCAGAGCCCAGCAGGGACAAGGCCATAACTGGGAATGACCAGTTCAAAACTCGTCGCCGTCCATCAGGAATGTCGATAACGAACAGAGCGGGGATTGTAGCTATGAAGTTCAAAAACATCAATCCAAGGGAGGCGCCCAGTAGCTGCATTTTCTGGTCGGTTGACGTGTCACATTTGTTGTTGAAGAAGGAGTACCGAAAAAAATGGTCAGCCATGAAAGCTATCAAGTTGATACCGCACAGTTGTTGTGAGACCATTACCGCGATTGCAGCTCGATGTGCTCTGTTCGTGTAGCCGGAGCGGAAGAAAATCAACGTGACTCTCTCTCGCCAGCTTATGTGTTGAATGACATCAAGGAAGGGGCTCTTTGCGTTTGTAGTCCTGTCGGCCGCACTAGAAGTATATGACCGGCGACCCAATGCTGCCTTCAGTCGACGCTGCTCATCAATCAGACGCGTATGCATGAGGAACAGCTCGCCAGCAGCAATTATGGGAACATCTTCGCCTCGAAGATCGACAAGGGACTTGTACGCCTCTCGAATGAGGTCTCCTCTGCGAGGATCGTTCTTAGAACGTTTGCCGTTTGAAAGTTTTCCCACGGCGCCGCTTTCCTTCAATAGCCATCGAGGGGATTCTAAATAGATGTCAGCCCTCGAGGAATGAGGATTTGGATTATTATGAGTCACTTACCAGGGGAAAAGAGGATCAATGATAGTAATATCAATGCGGGGATGAAGGCAGAGATGAACATGTATCGCCAGCTCGAATTAACATTGAGGCGATACACGGCCATGTTGGCAACTGATCCAGCGGCTAGCCCAAATGCGACAAAAAGTTGCCAGAAAACCAGCAGAAAGCCGCGTACGTCTTTGGGCGAGGTTTCGGAAAGCAGGATAGGAACAATAGAGGCTTTGCCTGCCATGCCGGCGCCCAACAGGATTCTGAAACCGAGGAGATGCTCCCATTTGTGCACGGAAGCAGAGCCTACAACCGATATGAAGCTGAATATGCCAGCAACACATATAGCCCCTCGACGGCCAAAGCGGAGGATTCTGGTGATTGGGTCGGTAATGATTAGACCTAGTATTGCACCAGCGAAGAATGGTACTCCGACTGTGACTCCCAGCAGCCAGGCATTACGATCGAGACTGGCATTGGGCTGGCCGTCCGCTGTGTTCGGGACGTCGAAGCCGGAGCATGCGGCGGTGGTATTTCTACCTAGATCATGCATTACTTCGATAGCAGCTCCTTCTTGTTGTTAGTTGACATGAGACGGCCGCTTCTCTCGGCGTGTCTTACCAGCCATAGCAGCTTGGTCCCAACCCCTGGAAAGACGTTAGACACAAATCGTATGTGCTGAACACCACAAAGTCAGCACTTACTGCGTCATTGCTGCAAAAATGCAAGCGACAATCAAAAGCCGATGCAACCTCGAAAGACTTCGCAGCGTTTCCCACCTACTCTGTGGCAGGAAGGCCTTGTATAGAACTTCACTTTCCAATCTTGTGTATCTCTGCTCGCCGACATGCAACTCGATGGGCCTGCGCGGTTCGTTGGGGTGCTCTCTACGCCGCGTTTGGATACGTTCGAATACAGGCTTTATGTCGACCTGCGACCGCAAGGCAAGAACGCCGCGGACAAATACATCCTGCTCGACTGGTAGATCGTATTTCATGTGAAATCTGATGGCATTTTCCTGTGTGACTCCATTCAATGGATTATCCTCTTCAACACTGTCGATCATGGTTAGGAACTTTGCAAACACAGTGCGAGTAGTGAGGTCGTACCTGGGATTGTCTTCGATCGTCGGCTCATGTACAGACGCTTGAGACGCGATGGACGTAGCCATGGTTGTCGGGTACCAACAGATAAAACAGTGGAGCAGCACGCAAGGAACAGCGACCGGGTGTGGAGAAGATGTAACATAGCTTGTACCTGGAAACGCGTCATATATCTATGCAGCCTACATCAGAAGCTTGCCAAATCTCACGGCCCGCAAGAAGGCAACGTGGCGCCATGAGCCGCATGCCAGCGGGCTCTGCTGCGAATAAGCGACAAGTGTCTAGACTGGTAACATACGCCTCGGACGCGATCGCAGAGGCACTAGTGGTATTGCCAGCTGTTCAGCTATCCAATATGGGATGTGGCGAACTCAGCCTGGCTGTTGTGCGACACGAGGGCGTGAGAGGTCGCGTTTATGGCCTAGGCAAAAGGTCCTCCTGTCCTCACCGGTCAACCCAGCCACGCCGTGAGGGACACATCGACGAATATCAAGCTTCAGAACTGTGTGATTGATAAGCGACCTCTTAGATCATCGAGAAGGAGGTAGATGGAGTTGTCGACATAGCAATTCGAAGATGGTCGAAAATGATGTTGTCGCGATGGCCCAAGTAGGACGCGCAGATGGGGACGCGGCTCTAATGGCCCCCGCCCCCCAATATTTCGTGCTTACCTATGCCAAGCCCAGTCCTCCCTTCACAACTACCGAACCTCCGATGGAGCAAACTTTCTTTTTGCACGCCCAGGGCCGCGCTGATCGAGATCGAAAGGGCACTCTTACGCGTCGCTTCTCTCTATTCCGGCTTATGGTAGCCCAGCAGAACCTTTGACTTCCAAGGTTGTTACCAGCACAGTGTTCAGGCGAGATTGCCTGCTGATAATGAGGCCAAGTTGAACACCCTCAAGAACACGTGACGCGGCACAACCAAAGCGCTGCACGTGTGAACAGAAGGAAGAGCTTTCATATCTCGCTGTTGCCTTCTGTCAATGTCAAATTTGATCTTGATTCACAACAGTGCTTCTAGCCAGAGTCTGACGGAAAGGCCTCCTCGCCAATATCGCCTGGCACCACGTTGTTTGCTAGCTCAGCGAGGCCAAATAAGCCGACTGTATTGCTACTACGGCCCGTGCCGTATACTGCGAGGTTCTGGCTTGCATGGTGGTTCAGATCCTCTTTTGAGCGATGGTAAGGAAGGTAGGCTCGGTGATTGACCGATTGCGGAACTGTCAATGTTGTTGTCGTTTGTCTCGAACGTGAGCTTTCTCGACAGGTTCAACGCTGGTCTGGGGGACGACCTTCAAGCTCCAACACGTTAGCTGTCGCAGTCGCTAGAAACATTCGCCTTTGCATCTGGAGCTCGAAAGGGTCTCTTTTTTATCCATCCGCTAGCGGTTCCCGATGTCAGATCCCTAGAAGAGACTACACGATCGCATACTCCCTGCCACCCTCCGCAGCAAAGTTTATCCAAGTCGCCGACTCGCTGTCCGCATATGTTAAATCCAAGATTTCGTCGCCATACCCCGGCACGTAAGCGACATTGATCATTTCGTACGACTGAGTTCCTGGTATTGGTGCCAAGATGAAAGGAACTTCTGTCCCAAATAAACAGACAAGTATAGCGCCGTCGGGTACAAGTCGGCAGTTGTGATGCCATGAGATTCCAAGGTGCCCTTCTTCCGTGACAATGATGTCACGGCCCCCAAAGTGTCCCAAGTTCTCACCAGAGATACCACGTCCGTCACGGTATACATCGAGTGTGAAGTTTTGGCGGAACCCATCTCTACTTCCGAGCAGAAGGCTAGTAAAGCGATCAAGATCTTCGTCTTCTATACTTCTTCGTCGAAGTATTTGTAGAAGAGAACGTGGTAATATGCCTCGAGGTTTCAAGATGCTATGGTAAAAGTCATATATCTCATTGTTCATTGTCTGTTCTCGGAACCCCGTCTCCCTTTTACCCCAGGACCATGAAGAGTTCTGTGTTTCACAGACGATACCAACATATCTTCCATGTGCATAAAGCGTCTGGGAATCCATCGATAGGCGTATCGAGCCTCGTCGCTTCTTACGCTCTTCCATGTCCAGCTCCGAGTTGGGCACGTTTCCAAGAATAGCATCCGTAGAGATCGAAGTGAAGTCCAGTATCCAGGACGAAGTAGTCCAGTGTGTCCGATCAAAGCCTCCAGTAGGTCGTGCGTCTTCGTTAAGATAGGGAAACGCGGACTCCTCCAAGATGGAGACGACTGTGGCCTCGGCCAATACATGCCATAGGGATTTTGAGTAATCGACTGCTATTGCCTCGGTAACTTGAAATTCGCATAGTGCGAGAAGTCCATAGACCTTATCGAGCGGGTTCGCAGACTCCGCGTTTTTTGATGCGATCAGGCACCAATACAAGCCTCTGTGGTTATCAGAGAGCGATCTAATATCTTGCAAGTCTAAGACGCGCATCAAGCCGTACTCAAATCGATCGCAAAGCTCAGGATCTTCCGGTCGTTTTGACCCGGTGGCAAGAAGTATATCTGAAATAGATTGCAAGAAAATGGACCAACGTGTGCTCACGCTGCCGATCAGTACAATCGGGTCAGTTCTCGCTAATGCCAGCTCTTGAATGACCCAAAGGCGACGAAACCAGGGAAGCTCCAAGATTTCCACATAATGCTGCCACATATGGAGCGAAACTTGAGGTGGATAACCCCTTCCCTTTTCTTGTAGCGTGATCAACCAGAGCGCTTGGCAATCGTCTGAGTGCGAACAAGCTGTATGTTTCGGCCATCCACCAAGCCATATTAAGACTTTGTTCGCAGATCGATAGATCATGGCCATGTGCTGAACCTGGTGAGATCTCTCCTCTACATCCCGCTGGTTTATGCACAGTGCGTCAATCCAAAGCATACGCGGTTTGTTGTCGAACCGAAGACGCCTCAGCCCTTGATCGAGACTTTCGGTGATGGGCAACTCGAATCCATCAACTAGTGCTTTGCGAGGACTAATCGTGGTTCCCCAAGCATATGATAGAGCTTCATATTCGACTTCGCGGTTGAAGCTCGGCATATACGTGTACCAGCCGTCTGATTCTTCCCAATTCAATTCATCCTTGTCTATGTCCCCTTCGTATGTTTCATCCTCGTCTGAGTCGTCCTCGTCTGTCACCCACCATCTCATTTTGACCGTACGTAGTGACAGGCTGATCGGATCGTTATATCCACCTGGCGATAGTTCAACCAAGCGAATCTCTCCGCCGTCTGAATCGATGGGTTGGTATGGCGATTGGTCCGAGCCCGAGGTAAGCGGTGCTTGGAGGGATTCCATTGAGCCCGACCCCGGGCGCGAGGCTGCGATGCGCTGGCCGTAATTGTCGCAACAAAACCGTCTCGCAGTCGGTCGGTGGTGAAGTGAAGTAATCTCGATATCCTTGATGTGGATATGAAGTTCTGCTGAGAGCGTGTATGTGTAACAGGCGTTGTGGCAGAAAGAGTGATGTTCAGAGAAGCGAAGAGGGGAAGGAGCGATTGGGTCGGTTTAGGCAGCATCACAAGGCTGATGACTAAGTCCAGCCACGCACATCATCGGTGAGCGAACGGAAAGCTTTGCCCCTCAAAAGAAAGGCCGTTCAGTTCAGGGCTGAGCCGTTGCGTTGGAGGGAAACTGACACAAATCCCACCTAATGGTTCTGAAGCGCGCCTTTCTCAATGGTATGGCACTCCTCCGTGGCCCAAGAATGCTCACTTGCTCGCATGTCAAAGTCGATGTCGCAGGCCCTCAAAACCTTGGGTCAGTTGCAATGACACAAGCCATATATTGCTGTGTTCGGTAGTGTGGCAAGGCGATATGGTGAATAGTCACTGCTGCCAGGTGTCTACAAATTTGTCGATCCGTTTCGGTTGCTACACAGCAAAAACGACCTGTTTAATTTGATTATGGCATAACCCGTACGCCCATAAGCCATAATATGTGCATAACGAAATTCTTCGAGCACTTTCAACTTGCGCAGTGTACTTCAGTTTTCTTTCCTCTTAGCTTCCAGCAAGTGAGACCCAGCTACAACCCGCAAACCCCTCTCACTGCAACAAGGAAAAGCCAGTACCCTGACCCGCAGCCTCCATCAGCGCACGCGTGAACTTAGTACGCTCGCTAGTCTGCATGACAGTCGGGCGGCGAGTCCAGCCAATCTCAGTAGGCATGCGCTCGTTGCCTACATCACATGCGTTAGCAACTACGCTCCATTCATCCATAAGAAAAGACAAAGTTTAAAACTTACGCAGCCAGTACTCAATAAAGTCCTTCCTAACAGTACTCGTAGTGCCATCCGCCATAATCTCAAAGAACGAAGCGCATTCACCCCAGCTAAACCCATCCGCCAACAACGAAGCCTTGTGCTCCGGGTTAGTTTTCTTAGATGTCGCAAGGCGTGCCATGCGGGCATCAGCGAGCTGCTGAACGGTGATTTCCGGGGTCGTGAAGAAAGATGCTGTCTCAGCCCAGACGGTTTCGTTGAAGGGGAGGGGGTTAGCGAAGAAGCGGTCAGAACGACTCAGGCTGAAGTCGTGCTCCAGCACGCCCTCACGGCCCAGCGTGTCGAGGTCGAATGTACGTGCGAAAGGCTCTGGGTTGGTGCGTACGGCTTGCGAGAAGAGGATGATGGCGTCGCTTTTGGCGATGTTGAAGCCTTCGAGCATGGCGTCGGCGAGGATGTCGCGGGTGATTCGCCGTCCGTCGTGCGGCAGGTAGCCGTGGTTGGCGAGAGTGTTCATGCCGGGGCATGGACCGCGTGCTGTTGGGTCACTGGTTAGTTGGATGGTCCTATCACGACCAGAGATGTCTGTTTAGATGTTGCAACTAACCATCGGTAGGACCTGGAGCTGTCCAGTTCCTGGGCACCCAGGCCTGGCGAGCGACATAGGTCGGGAAAGCCGAGGCTGACGCAAAGATAGCGAGAAAGCTGATAGTAGATGAGACCTTCATGGTGGTTCTAAATGAGAGAACGGGCAGAGTAATGATGGGAATGGATCTCAAAGATGAATGTTAACGAAAGGATGTGAAGGTATGACTGTCAACGAGTGATTCGCTTG